GAGAGGAGAGTGCGAGCGACTTTGAAACAACTTTTATTGATGCCGGCAGCAGCAACAGCACTGGAGGCGATTTCGATACGAAACGCACAAAGTCACCAGCAACAAATAAGCGAACACGACGAAACAAAAAAGCCACGTGCCGCATCTCGACGCGACCCACGCGCAACGCAAAGACGTCACAACACGAAGACGTCACAACACAAAGACGTCACGTGGTGGTGGTGGTCGCACACGTCACGCCCGACAAGCGAGCACGCGAGAAGGTGAAAAGGAGTGTGAGAGACTTTGAGTTTTGAACAACTTTTATTGCCGCCAGCAGCAGCAACAGCACTGGAGGCGATTCCGATACGAAACACACAAAGTCACCAGCAACACAAATGAAAATAAACGCTACAAATCCACGCGCTGTGGCGCTAAAAGCACCACGCACAACGCGAAAGAAAAGCCACGTGGTGGTGGTGGTTGTGGTGGTCGTCGTGCATGCCACGGTGACGAGCGAGCGCTTCAGAAAGTGAACACCACGAGGGTGCCGTCCACGCTGATACAGAGAGAGGCTTGTCCGGCTCCCCAGCGTTTGAAGAAGAGGGAGAGAGAGAGGGAGAGAGAGGACTGCGAGAAGGGCTGGGTGCAGATGCAGCACTTGTCGTAGTAAAGAAAAATATTACATAGAAAACAGGGAGAACATAGACATAGAGTAGGGAGAGAGGGGTAGAGAGAGGGGGGGTAGAGAGGGGGGGAGTAAAGAGGGGGGGCGGTAAGAAGGAGCAGAGCGAGAAATATTTCGTGAAATCTTTCATTTAAACAGGGAGGGGGGGCACATAAAGCAAAGCATTGAAAAAAAAACGAAATGATGAACGAAGCAAAGTGCCGACTACACCGAGCATCTTCTTGTTTCCTCTGATCGTAAAAAAAAGAGAGAGGGGGAGAGAGGGGGGGGGGGGATGGGGGAGAGAGTTCATGCAAAATCGCGTCAAGGATGCTCGCCCCGGCGCCGAGCGTGTTCAGAAACGAGAGGCACTTTCGGGAACCCGCCGCGGTTTTTTGGGGGGAAGTTTGCGCAGTGCGCGAGGCCTTGGGTTGCGGCCCACGTTGGCAAAAAAAAATAAAATTGCGCGTGACACAATCAGTTTAAGTGATCATCAAACCAAATAATAGTCGAGTATCTTCTTGGTTCTTTCGGTAAAGTCACGTAGAAGGGAAATAATAAAATAATAAAACATTATAAAATAATTCTCACGACGTTTCGGCCACAACGCAAGCAGCCGTCCTCAGGTCAAGAACAGGTCTGTCGGAAAGACAATGTCGTTCATTCAGACGCTGTCTTTCCGACAGACCTGTTCTTCACCTGAGGACGGCTGCTTGCGTTGTGGCCGAAACGTCGTGAGAATTATTTTATTATGTTTAATTTTTATTATTTTATTATTTCCCTTCTACGTGACTTTACCGAAAGAACCAAGAAGATGAATCCCTGCAGTCACGAAAGCTTTACATCGAAAAATAGTCGAGTACTAACGCAGGAAATGCTACGAGTTCAATGACTCCTCCCGCAGCCTCTTTACGTCAAGATGCATTCAGCCAATTGGTTAACGGTGAGTTTCATCGGAATCATGTTTGCTTACACTGGAGAAATCCGATGAGCTGTGAAGCTCTTTCGTCGAAGGCGTCCAGTGGACACCATCTCAGAGACCGAGCAAGCGAAGGTCAAACCCCGGGGTTTCGTGTCCTCAAAATAAGCCAGGCAGACCATTCACCCCATTCGCATAAATGCATCTCACGCTACAAATACAGTCATACCTCGGTATACGACCGCTTTGGAATACGTCGAATTTGGTATACGACGTGTTTTGACGAGAAAAAAATGTCTTGGAATACGACGTCTTGCTTGGGATACGACGCGTTTGCTAGAATTTGTATGGGTCGGGGTGAGTCACCGCGTACCCGCGTAGACCCCGTTCACAACTCCTCCCCTTCCTCACCACCATCCTCGTAGGCTATCAACTCCTCTCAGCAAGGTAAAGTGATGTTACATTTCATTTTTTATTTCAATTTATTTATGCATTTTAGTAATAAGTAGTGTCTAAATTATTTTATACAACCCGATTAATCTATAATATGCCATAGCAAATATAATGTATTATATTCTGGAACGGATTTTTTCACTTCCCTTTATTTCTTATGGGAAAACAATCGTTTGGTATACGTCATTTTCGGTATAAGTCCTACCTTTTGGAAGGAATTAACGACGTATACCGAGATGCCACTGTATAAACAAGTACACGGTTACGCATTGATATTGTACACATCCCATCAGCATTGCAACAAACTCTGGACTGGTTTTGGACAGTGGTGGATCCAAGGGTGAAATTCATGCATCAGCCTTTAAGTTTCGATATCCCGTGTCTCATCAGCATGGTCAAGTTTTTTGCTGGTGAACTGCAAAATGTTAGATACGGGTCCTGGATCGCACTTCGCTCGACAGCCACAGATATTTATACGCCGCCGCTATGTCGGAAATGTTACCCAATAAATGAGCTGTCTTGAGAAGACACTTTGTCAACGTGAATCGTCAGTCAAGCCCACGTGACCTCCTTGCTCGAGTGAGCAATTGCTTACGCAGCAGCGGACATTCCTCATTCCTATGGCGGGAGGGGGTGGGGGGTGGAAGGGTGCGGGGAACGAGTCATTGCAGGCGACAACCACTTGTGGTGACTTCTCCACGGAGCGGTGGCGATTTTATCGACCCCCGGAAGGAGGGATGATGAGCTGAGTCAATAACAGCAACCCCCAAATGTATGAAGTTACGGGCCCGCGTGCTGTAGGTTCCTTAAAACAGTTTTTTGGTTTGGCCATGTTTGTTTGTTGTAGTACAGAGTTAGACTGATGGCCTTAATCTAAGTTGTCTTGTGGTTGTTGTTGTTGTTGTTGTTTGACTTGCATCCCACTGGGATTTTTGCACACAGCGTTGGTGTACGGTGCTTTTTCTGCAATATTTTGTTGTCTTTTCTTAGATTTTTTGTTTGAACATAGTCACTTTAAGATGTTTTCTTGTTTATGTTTTTGTTTTCTGTTTGTTGCGGTTGCACCCGATTCAAGAGCCGAATGGCTCACAGGGCTATACCTGATAAATGAATATTCTTAGGTTTTTTCTGTAAAGTCACGTAGATAAAAATTAAAAATTCATAAAAGTAAGATAAAATAAAAATCACGACGTTTCGGATGCAACACAAGCTTCCGGCTTTACCGAAAAAACCTAAGAATATGAATCCTTGCGGTCACGAAAGCTTCAAATCTAGAACTAATAAATGAACTTGAACTTAGCCATGAACTAGGCCAGGGGGTCTTGACTTGGGGGGTTCCATGCACCCCCTGGGGGTGCAAGATGCCCTTTCTGGGTGGGTGGGTGGTTGTGGGGTAGGGGAGGGGAGGCTTGCGGGACGTGGCCAACATTTATTTTTTAGAAGGTAAATAATCGAAAACACCGATTAAGCACGGGGACACGTTCAGTAACCACTTAGGTTGTTTCATCAAACCCTCGATGTATTTATTAACATGATAACAATTTTGTTAACGATTCAGAACCAAAAGGAGAGAGGGGATAGAGAGATGGGGGGGGGGGGGGTAAGAAGGAGGAGAGCAGAGCGTGAAATGTTTTGTGAAATCTTTCATTTTAAAAGGGGGGGGGGGGGGGTGGGGGAGGGGCACATAAAGCAAAGCATTGAAAGAAAAAAAAATAAAAAAAATAAATGATGAACGAAGCAAAGTGCCGACTACACCGAGCATCTTCTTGTTTCCTCTGATCGTAAAAAAAAATTGAGAACCAAATGGGTGCAAGGCTGCAGTGAAGGTGAAGAACCGTTGGTCTAGACATCACGATGTTGATTCTAAGTAGGTTTTTTCGGTAAAGTCACGTAGGTAAAAAATAAATAATGAAAATAAATAATACAAAATAATAGAAAAAATTGTAGAAATAAAATAATCTCTTGGGACTTCTCTTTACTTGATGCAGCTATCGTGCTGTGACGGTTCCACCTGAAGACGGAAGCTTGTGTTGCCTCCGAAACGTCGTGATTTAATATTTTATTTCTATTATTTTTTTAGATTATTTTTATCATTTATTTTTATTACTTATTTTTTACCTACGTGACTTCACCGAAAAAACCTAAGAGTATGAATTCTTGCAGTCACGAAAGCTTCAAATCTAGAATTTATTCTAAGCGTGGAGGGAAAACGCGGAGGACCCGGGGAGAAACTCCACGCAACCATTGAGCAACAAAAAGGTTTTTTTTTTCAGAAGCGCCCTGGCCACAAATGATAACTCAACGAAGTGGTTTCATCACGTGGCAATGTATAGCCGCCAACACACTAGACCAGTGGGTCTTCTTCTTCTTAACCTGGGGGGCACCGCTCCCCCTGGGGTTGCAAGATGCCCTTTCTAGGGGTGGGGGGGGGGGGGGTGCGAGACGTGGGCAGATCTTTAGTTTTTCAGAAAAGGTAAATCATCGAAAATTAAAACTAAGCACGTGGGCACGTCACGTAACGTCTTACTTTGCTCCCATCAAAACCCTCTGTTTTATTTATTGACAAACGTTTAAACGATTGAAAACCAAACGCTGTTCCAAGGCTGCAGTAAGTAAGTAAGGGGGTTAAGCGCCACTGCACTTTGGCAAATGTCTCAACGTTGCATCTGTGCCCTCGTCGGGAGTCTGGGTAGGAGGTGGGGGGGGGGGGGTCAGGAGAGGGAGGTAGAACAGGCAGCGAGGGTGGTGGGTGGCTGGGTAGGTGGAGTGGGTGGGTGTCTCGGAGATTTGCAGCCCTCCCAACTACTCTCCACGTCCCATCGCAGGGAGGGTGGGAGTCACTCCCCTCTCCTCCCTTCAGCTGATACCCTTAGGCCCCTTTACCCCCCACCACCACCATCACCACCATCCCCTCTCCCCACCCCACCCCACCCTCTACCCTCCACCGCCTCCCGCTGAGAGTTCATAAGTTTGAGGGGCTGGGGAGAGAACGCGGCATCTGTGGCGGACGGCAGCGCCTCGATCGTCGTCATCGTTGAAGTTCCCGTGTCTCCTGGCGCCTCTCTCTCTCTCTCCTCTCTCTCATCTGACGGTCGTGCGCGGGTGGGTGTCTGCAGAACTCGCTCACGCGCAGACACGTGTACACACACACACACGCGCACAAGCACGCGCGCGCGCACGCGCAGACACGTGTACACACACACACGCACGCGCAGACACGTGTGCACACGAGCACACGCGCGCGCACAAGCACGCGCGCGCGCACGCGCATACACGTGTGCACACGAGCACGCGCGCGCGCACGCGTACACACGTGTGCACACGCACCTGGACACTGGGGTGTTCTACGGCTGAATCGGAGGGACCGCGTCGCCGGACCGAGTCGCGTCTTCGCCAACGAATAGGAGGGGAGAGGGCACAAGCCCGAAGCTTGGTGTTCAGACTTCAACGTTCATGTGGTGCGTTGTGGTGGTGGTGGTGGTGGCGGCAAGCTGCGACGGGACAACAGGCGCTGGGCATTTAAACTCCGCTGCGACTACGAGTCAACAGCCGTGCGACTGAACCATCGGCGCGCACCCGGAAAAAAAAAAAAACCAAAAAACATTTCGTGCAAACTTTTAGTTTCTTCTCGATTCGAGGCTTTCGCGACTGCAGGAACTCATGCTCTTTTGGTTTCTTTCGGTTCAGTTCACGTGGAATAGAAACTACTAAATAACAATAATACATCACGACGTTTCGATCGCAACAGCAAGCGGACGTCTTCACGCGGAAGAAACCGACTGCTGTGGACGAGGCCTTAAATAGAACGAGAGGGGGGAGGGGGGTGCCGCTTTTTTCTTTTTGTTTTTATTCTTGCTGCTTTCACAAAGAGACACTTGCCGACAGAAGCAGCGTCCGCTCCACACGCTGGGGCGCGTTCGACTTGCTGCTGCTGCTGAAAGTTGTGGTGGTTGTGCTGCTGCTTCTGCTGAAGGTTGTGGTGGTTGTGCTGTTGCTGTTGTTGCTGCTGTTGCTGCTGCTGTTGCTGCTGCTGGGCACGTGTGCGTAGCAAGCCGCGCTCAACGGAGGTGAGGACATCGTTCCACAGCGCAGGAACGAAGGAGCATCATCATCATCACCACCACCACCACTACCACCACACCGGGCTCATCGTCTGTGTTGTTTGAACTCACCCACCATCACCACTAACATCACCATCATCATCACCATCACCACCACCACCACCACTACCACCACACCGGGCTCATCGTCTGTGTTGTTTGAACTCACCCACCACCACCACTAACATCACCATCATCACCATCATAAACACCATCATCAACACCATCGTCATCATCCACCACACCGGGCTCATCGTCAGTGTTGTCTGAACTCACCCACCACCAACATCACCATCATCATCACCACCGTCATCATCCACCACCGCCTCCCGCGCCACCGCTACTGAAACAGACCCCCCGTCTTCACCTCCCTCTACTCTCGGGGTGTCGGACGGACCGAGCCATTGAACTGATTGGCCTTGGAAGACTCCTGACCCTGGGATGGCGACCGCGATGGCGCTCTGCGGCGGCGGCGGCAGCGGCGGCTGCGACCTGACCGCGTCGTCCGCCGTGCTGATGGAATACGTCAACGACTTTGACCTCATGAAGCTCGAGGTCAAACGTGAGCCCTTGGACTTACACTCCGGCCATCACCGCCACCACCACCACAACCACCAGCAGCAGCAGCAGCACAACCACCACAACCTTCAGCTACAGCAGCAGCAGCAACAGCAAGATGACCTGTCCCAAGTTCGAGTTCGTGCGGCCGGTTCCTTACACTCATCTTCGCCGTCCCCCATGAGCACCCCGCGTAGCTCCGAGCCTCCGTCCCCTGTCCTCGGCGAGCCGAGCTCCGCGCCGCGTGCCGGTCTCCTGGTGGAGGACCTCTACTGGGTGATGAACCACGCGCAGAACCAGCAGGGCCACGGCGCGCTGCACCTGCACGCCCATCATCACCACCAGCAGCAGCAGCAGCAACAGCAGCAGCAGATGGTGGTCGACACGGTGGCCGCAGCCGAGGCGCTGAACCTGACCCCTGAGGACGCGGTGGAGGCTCTCATCGGCTGCGCAGTTCACTCGGTTCAGTCGCAGGGGTTCGACCTCCGATCCGGGACCCTCCTGCAGGCCGGCGGGGCCGGCGGAGTCCACTCGCCACTCGACCTCCTGCGTGATGAACTGCAGGACGTCGACAACACCGAGGCGCAACGCCAGCAGCAGCACCACAACCACCACCACCATCAGCAATTGCTTCTACACAGCGGCTGTGGCGGCAGTAGCAGCAACGTGAGTAGCAGCAGCGGTAGCAGCAGCAGCGGCAGCGGCATCGTCAGCGGCGTGGGACATCCGTGCCGGGGCGCTTGTTCGGAAGAGCGCTTCACGGACGAGCAGCTGGTGTCGATGTCGGTGCGCGAACTGAATCGACAGCTGCGCGGTCTCGCCAAGGACGACGCCGCACGCCTCAAGCAGCGCCGGCGGACGCTCAAGAACCGCGGCTACGCGCAGTCGTGCCGCCACAAGCGGGTGCAGCAGCGGCACCTGCTGGAGAGCGAGAAGTCTCTGCTGCAGCGGCAGGTGGATGAGTTGGAGCGCGAGCTGGCGCGCCTGTGCCGCGAGCGCGACGCGTACAAGGACAAGTGCGAGCGACTCGCCGGGTCGGAGGCGCCGCGTAGTCGGAGCCCCGTGTCGCCTGGCTTCTACCTGTGAGTGTCGGCGTGAGTGTCCCCGAGATACACACAGAGAGAGATGCACACAGAGAGACACACAGAGATACACACAGAGAGATACACACAGAGAGACAGACAGAGACATACACGTGTCGCCTGGCTTCTACCTGTGAGTGTCGGCGTGAGTGTACCCGAGATACACACAGAGAGACAGAGAGATACACACAGAGAAATAGACACAGAGAGACAACAGACAGAGGCATGCACGTGTCGCCTGGCTTCTCCCTGTGAGTGTCGGTGTGAGTATCCCCGAGATACACACACAGAGAGATAGAGAGATACACACAGAGAGATACACACAGAGATACACACAGAGATACACACAGAGAGATAGACAGACAGAGACATGTACGTGTCGCCTGGCTTCTACCTGTGAGTGTCGGTGTGAGTGTCTCCGAGATACACACAGAGAGAGACAGATACACACAGAGAGACACACAGAGATACACACAGAGAGATACACACAGAGATACACACAGAGAGACACACACACAGAGACACGTACGTGTCGCCTGGCTTCTACCTGTGAGTGTCGGTGTGAGTGTCGGTGTGAGTGTCCCCGAGATACACACAGAGAGATACACACAGAGAGACAGACAGAGATACACACAGATATACACACACAGAGAGATATACACAGAGAGATACACACAGAGAGATACACACAAAGAGAGATACACACAGAGAGACAGACAGAGACACGTACATGACACCTGCCTTTTACCTGTGAGTGTCGCGTGCGCGGGTATCTGTGTGAGTGTCGTGGAGTCAGCACAAAGCGTCATTATCGACGAAACGTGATTTGCGTGATTTAGTGTGTGTGTGTTATTGTTTACTGTGCTTGCATACCCGTCAACCCCTTATCAGTGCCTACCTTGTTACAGACCTTATCGCTCATCCCGTGCCCCTTATAAGTCTCAACGTTCATCCTACAAAGTCCCATCACAAGGGAGAAACAATAAACAAATAGATAAACACTTCATTTTTTTTGCTCAAATGTTGCACCGTATCGAAGCGGCTGTACTCCGTATGGACCTGCAAACTCAAATTTTTTCCCCTGCGCAAGCACGCGGGGTGAGCCGTACGGGTCGACCGCCCGTGCGCGTGTCCACCACCAAAACCCGAGTCGAACCAACTCGAGTCGCGCGAACTCGCCAATCGAACGACGCGTCTCAACAGCCAATCGGAGCTCGCCAAATGCCGTCGAGCACGTGGCGACGATGCAACGTTGAATTGTGAAACTCTGCCGCGAGCAACGGCGTGGGATTGCATGCAACCACACGCAACCGAACGACGCCCCAGGTCTCATAGCTCACGCGTGGACCCCGGCTGAAATAACTTTGGAGCGACTTTCCACGCCCGGAGTAGAAGTCGCAACCTCTTGCCAGGCAATGGATCGTCCTTACGGCTTTGCCCGTGGTGGAACTCTTGACTTTCGCTGTTCGTTGCGTGTCGGTGAACTTCTATGGCAGCCTCCTGGTGTGTAGGTGAACTTCTGCGATCTGGCCACGAACGAGAGCTCAACAAAACGTGGCCCAATCATTCGGATAATTTATAGCAGCAGCAGCAGCAGCAAAACTAAAATAATCGCAACAGTGGAAACGCGCGTGGGGAGAGCCTTTTGCGTCTCACCGTCTGGCCGCAGCTGCAGAGGCAGCAAACCGCACCGCCACCTTCAAGCTCGTCAAGACCAGCACATGAAGCGGCGTCAGGAGTGGCAGTGACCGAGTAGTTGTATCATCATCATCATCATCGCTGCGACGATGTCGTTAGATATTCGCACCACCACCACCAGCACCACCACCCACCAACCATTACCGTGTTTAATGTTTCATGCGTGCATCATCGGGTTGCTGCTGACATGCTGCCGTGCTGTTGTGCTTCATGGTCAACGATGTCTGATTTTATATTTATATTTTGTCTTAAGAGTAAGACGAGGGGGGGGGGGCAGTTGGGGGGCTCGTGGCCAGAGACTGAACGCGAAGACTGGGAGATCCTAACGGGTGGATTCACTCGCTGGCCGTGGATTGATTTGTCTTGGCTGTGTTCTTGTTGTTGATGTTTTTGTTGATAATTGGTTCTTTACCCTTCTATCTGGCAACAAAACTGACACCTTTTTGCAAGGAGTCATGTTTGCATAGACCGCAATACTGCAGGTATTGCGGTCTATACTGGCAAATGAGGTCCCCATAGTGATGTTTTTGTTGTTTTTTTTTGTTGTCGTTCGTAAAATGCCGCTCGTGCTCATGGCAAACGGATGTCCGTGACGTCACAAAGCACTCCGTTATGACGCGCGCGCGCGGGTCTCCACGTGTGATGACCTAGTAATGCTATTTTTCTTTGTGTAAATCCACTGCTGGATGACATGAACCCCCATCCCCCCACTCCCTCCAATGCCGTGTCGGTCATGGGGGGAGGGGGCGGGGTTTGGGTTGAGGGGTTGTTTTTAACCATACTTCACCAGATTTGAAGCTTTCGTGACTGCAAGGATTCATATTCTTATGTTTTTTCGGTAAAGTCACGTAGGTAAAACATTAAAATGTATT